ATGATAATCTCGGTTGTGCTGTGAATTTAAAAGCTTAAAAAGCGTTATAAGTCGAATAGCTACACTTGAATGCAGATCCTTTATCTTTTTCAGGCTAGAATTAATCACTTAGTCAGACAAGCACTCGTTCCACAAAGATATCGTTAATTTAACACTTAAAACGTTTTTATTCGGGTGGATAATTGCAAGGGACTGTAATGGTTCACGTTCAAACTGTGAAAAGATTGATGGTGTGCAGTGCTAAAACATTAAATTTGCTTACGAAACGTTCGGGTAAGAAATCTTCGATAGCCTGCGGGATTATACGATCAAACGAACGTTTTTATTTTTTTTGGTATTCTATTTTCGATAACATTTTCGTAGGATAAAGAAAATATATAAAGTATGTAAGCTATATTTGTTATTTCATACATAATAGCTTTACTGTTCTCTCTCTCTCTCTCTCTCTTCGATCGGTTCCTCACTGCTGAGGATCGTGACTCCGTCCGATTTCGTCAACCAACTGTCTCCATCGATCCCGCCCTGCAGCCCGGTGGAGTGCGTCGCTGATAGGTATCCCCAGTTCCTTTGCTATTTGGTCCGACCATCGTTTGGGACCTCTACCCCTAGGCCTTTTTCCCTCTATTTTACCGGTCACCACAAGGCGTTCCAAATTGCTGGTATCCCTACGTGCAACATGACCAAAATACCGCAATATTCTTTGTAGGCAGATTGTGGATAGACGTTGAATCTTTTCTATTTTTAACTGCCTGAGAATAGATATGTTGGNTCCTTTGCTATTTGGTCCGACCATCGTTTGGGACCTCTACCCCTAGGCCTTTTTCCCTCTATTTTACCGGTCACCACAAGGCGTTCCAAATTGCTGGTATCCCTACGTGCAACATGACCAAAATACCGCAATATTCTTTGTAGGCAGATTGTGGATAGACGTTGAATCTTTTCTATTTTTAACTGCCTGAGAATAGATATGTTGGTGCGGCGGGCTGTTCTCATTCCACGATAAATCGACGTACCTGATAAATTACCTTCGATTTATGCTTGTATATTCTGGCTCGTAATTCAAAACACCAAATAAGGTATTTGCGTTCATCCATCCATTTCTGCCTGTTTTTGCCGTGTAGCATTAATGCCTTTCGGTTTGAAGGGTGGGGCAGCTGTTGTAACTATACTGGGACCTTAGAACTCATATCTCGAGGTGGGTGGCGGCATTTACGTTGTAGATGTCTATGGGCTCCGGTAACCACTTAACACCAGATGGGCCGTGAGCATCTAAGCAATAAAAAATGAAAAAATAGTTGTATAAATATCGACTAAGTTCTACAACGTACGTCGATCGTTCCCTATAATTTTTTTAATACTAGTATGTAAATCAATAAGAATATAACGTATTGTTACGCACAGAAAATGTTGCTAAAAACTTTTTTGTGAAAACAACGCCAGTTTTAAAACATAACTTAACCGTAAGCCTAAACGGCCAAAAATTAAATTTTTACCCTAATATAAAGGGAAATCAACGTACATTTACTAAACTAGGCACGAATAACAATTGTCGTAACGGGAACGCAGCTGCAACATCAAACAAAGCCTTATTGCACGGCTCAGCTGATTCCGAACTGAAAACTTTTTTAGCATTGTTATGATTTCAATTTCGATAAAATGAATAAGAGACACTAAAAAGATACAGACATATATATCAGACATCTAAAAAAATTATGAGCCTGCGAAACAATGAGATAAAATACAAGTTTTACTTTTACCGCGAATAAACCGTACGTTTTTGTTTTAATTTTTCTTATTATTCTACAATTCTACAATTTTAGACGTCGTGGCCTAAAGGATAAGACGTCCGGTGCATTCGTATGACGCGATGCACCGGTGTTCGAATCCCGCAGGCGGGTACCAATTTTTCTAATGAAATACGTACTCAACAAATGTTCACGATTGACTTCCACGGTGAAGGAATAACATCGTGTAATAAAAACCAAACCCGCAAAATTATAATTTGCGTAATCACTGGTGGTAGGACCTCTTGGGAGTCCGCACGGGTAGGTACCACCACCCCGNTAATTTGCGTAATCACTGGTGGTAGGACCTCTTGGGAGTCCGCACGGGTAGGTACCACCACCCCGCCTATTTCCGCCGTGAAGCAGTAATGCGTTTCGGTTCGAAGGGTGGGGTAGCCGTTGTAACTATAGTGAGACCTTAGAACTTATATCTCGAGGTGGGTGGCGCATTTACGTTGTAGATGTCTATGGGCTCCAGTAACCACTTAAGATTAGGTGGGCTGTGAGCTCGTCCATCATCTAAGCAATAAAAAAAAAGTTCATGAACTTAAAAAAAAAATTTTTTTGTCTTTTTTATGTAACATTATTTTAGGGGTTTGAGGGACTATACATTACTAATAATATAATTAAACAGAATTAACACCCATGGGATAAAATTAATCAACAATCATATTTTAATAACGTCTACTAAATCTATGTGATTGCCACTTATTTACACTTAGAAGATAAGAGAATGTACCTACAAATTTACACAATCTGAATAATCGCTTAGCTAAATTTAAATGTTGTTTCAGGTAACATTTCCCACCGGTTTCCGGTGCCTTGTTTACAATGTTAAGATAATGTTTCGAAAAACAAACATGCATTTAGGAGGGTCGGCCCGTTTATCTGATGCTGAGTGAAAAGATTTAGTGTGTGGGTAATCAACATATATCTAGGAGGGCGAATACACGAGGTAATCAGGCAATACATAATTATGTTGAGGGTCATTTGTGGATTAAATTAGACCCTATTTACCCTTACTGGTTGTAAAGTATATTGTGAGCACTCACAGGTACCACGGCACGGTAACTTTGTCATACTACCATACTTTGAAGCTTGTGCTCCTGTTTGGCGGTTAAAAACAGCCAGTATTACAATAGAAATTAGATTTAGATCTCATATCACAAAATTTGTTATTTAAGGAAGACTCCATGATATTATGACATGAAAGTAACAGATTATTTATTAGAAGAAACGGATATGTAACTCCGGACTCTTTAGAGTAGTTAAGATGAAATGACCAGCAGCCCACTGAGTTTTTCGTCGGATCTTCTCAGTGGGTCGCGTTTCCGATCCGGTGGTAGATTCTGCGAAGCACTGCTCTTGCTAGGGTTAGTGTTAGCAACGTCGTCAGGTTCGAACCCCGGGAACTCACCTACTTGTTAGGTTACGCTGACATAACCTCACAAGGCTATCAGTTTAGGTAGGAAAAAATAAAGAAGAAAAAAGACTAGACGTGCTTATGTCCCGTCTAGTATTAATTCGTTTTATCGGAGCTTATAGACATCACAAATTGAATATAGCCTTGATATGTGGTCGATGTCTCAATTGTATTAACGGCTGGTTGGTGTCCTTCAAAGCGGAACGCATCGCTTTGTGGTAGAAATAAGTTGGATGGTGATACCTACCCGTGCGGAATCGTTTTACGGTAATTTAGAATGTTTGCGACTTTGATTTTCATTATATATGTTAAAATAAATAAATAAATATATATTTACTAACGATCACGCCACGTTAACTGGTCTATGCTAAGTTCGTAAAGAACTTGTGTTACAGGTAGGTACCAGATAACGGAACTAAATGTAAGATTTTTATTATACACATACATATATTTAATATAGGTACATCCATAATCCTGCAAAATACATTTTATATTTATCATACAAATATTTTCTCTTGGCGGGATTCGAACCCGTTAAGTTGGTCCTTCATTACGAAAATTGCTACCTGCTTGTAGAATTTCAATGTCTAAAATCTGTTAAATAGGTAGAATGGATGCATAGAATGGAACACAGTGGTAACTACATTAATAATTCCTCTTCATTAGGCAATGGCAGAATAATGTGCCTATTTTCTGCTCCTTAGTAACAGTAATGCGTTTCTGCTTAAAGAATTTAGGATTTATAAAGCTTAGGTATTTAAATGCTGAGAGATAACTCATTTAATTTTGTTAAAAATCGCTACCGAATTTTTAAGGACCTAATTAGGCTTGTCTTTGAATATTGAAGTGAATGTACCCTAAAATGGGGGGAATCGAGACGCTTTTTAAGTTAGACATTGATTTTTATCGTTTTTTTAATTGTAGTTATAGTAATAAAAAGATCATAATGGTTCCAGTACTTTTTTATTTATAATGCATTAAGACATAGTTTATTAAGGAATAATCATAAACAGTTACAAAACTTACTTGTCCCTATTCACCCAGGCATTGGGTCGCTTAAGGGAAAAATAAGAGTTTTTCAATAGGGCTGGCACTGTTTAGTTGTTAGGTAGGTACCTAACTTTAGGAAATTAACTTTTTGATGTCTTTAAAGAGTTACAAAACTTTGATGACTCAATTAAACTATTTAATATTCGTAAACACTAAATTAAAGTCATTTTCAGTTCAACAAAGTTAAATCTAACAACTCAACAAAAGTATTGTGACTTCCCAGATTTGTCCCTATTCTTCCCAATTTAATTATACTGTATTCGAATTGCACGTGTGCAATATCGGATGCGCTGAAACAGAGGGTCCGCGAGATGCTGTGAAAATGCCGGCACCGAGCTCCCCATAAGAGTATATTGCCGCTCAATAGCGGGACGATATTGGAATTCCTAGCGAGATAATAATGTATACAAGACTTCATACGACAGCTTGTTTTGAATACGTAAAATGTATTTGCATAATTTGTCTTCACTGTTTACTTTCAATTATTAATTCATTTCGTTCTAATTCGAGTTTACCTATACATTCGAATTGAATAGAATTGTGTGTATCGATTCTCCGTATACGTTTCGATGTTCATTATTGTCTGATTACATTTCTATTGAAACGTCTCAGCTGAACGCAATGTGATTACTAACTTCCTCCTAACGTCTTATCTTTACATCCTTCGGGTATTTGTCCGCAATCCTTTTCTCTGCCCTATTCGGTTTTCAGATAAAATAAATAAAAAACACAGTAGGTATGTAATTAGATAATTCTTTTATTAAAACATCTCTTGAAACCATCAAATAAAATTATTCCGAATCGTCTTCGATGACGATGCGACGTTTTTTTGAATTTCGCTTCACCGGTACTATGTCTTCGTCGTCGCCACTATTGTCTGCAAAGCAATGAATTAATTTGAGTCACAAACGTCATTAGGAAGGTTAGTGTGATCATCCCCCCCACTCTCGGGTTCGGACTACGGGAAGAGATCGGACGTAGGGTGAAGATTGCAAGAGGAATCCTTTAGTGAGTAGGGCCCTAAAATATCCTCGAGCCCGCGGTCCGTTCCGAACATATGTAGACCGTCAAGTAAGGGACAGCCCGTATAAGACCCATGCCCGAAAAAAAATTGTCATGGTAATTCTTCTTCTCAGTCGTACACTCCTGGCGGAGTGGTCGTGGTTACGGATGTCTTAATGTTTGATTGCGGCTTTTGATAGAATTCTCCATCTCTCTCTGTTTGTGGCGGTACGTGTACATACAGTAAGGGAACACTTCGTAGATAACTTAACCCAGTCTGTCCACCTTGTGGAGGATCGGCCGTATCACACAGCTATAAAACAATAGAAAAATGTAAATAAATTCAATCTACGGTATATCACTAACATTTTTGCAGTTAACCTATTTAGTCGTGCGTGGTTAAACTATAATAATTTTAACCAAAACCAAATCGCTTTTTTTTTAAATATCTTTTAGTCCATAAATCTTACCGCTGGTCAATTTAGATATATTGTTTAAAATTTCTTCAGTGTCCGGTGTGTCTTGTTGCAGAGTTCTCTTCGCAAAGGAGAGTACGTCCTCAGAGTCCTCCGTGAGCTCGTGTTCGTAATCCTCATCGATTTTGGTTAGCTTCTGTTTTCTGTTCTCTTGATTCGATTCTGTGCGACCGCGCTTCCTGTTGTTAGATTTAGTAATGTCGTTGGCAGTCTCCGTACGTATGACTTTCTTCGTATCTGCATTTATTTCTCTAAGTTTACGCAAGTTATTGAAGAGATCATCGTCGTTGCTCGATTCGTCTACAGCAATTTCATGTAATTGTTTCTCAGTTTGGTCTTCATTTAAGGGACCGATTATTAGTTCCCTTTGAACTGCCCTCATAATTATCTCACGTCTTTTTCTGATCGTTTCAAAGTGTAAACAGCTCGGTATTCTCCAGTAGGATTCCTAAAAAAAATGAGAAATTTCCAAATCGTTATAACGCTACGATTTCTACGGACCGAAGATACTTTTATAGTTTAGTGATTCCTTTAAATTATTTATTAGTCTTATTATTAATAAAATATATCTCTAAGCTGTAAGACATAGTTATGTGTCTATATTTTGTATGAAATTTTGAAAGTCGCCGGCAAGCTTTCATTATTTTAGAAATATTTTTCAATAACTAAGATACATTGTTCTATCGTTGAACTACATTTGTACTAACCCTAAACTGGCCTAAACTGTCAGCTGTCGAATTGTTTTTTTAGGGTTGCCAACACTATTCTGCACAAATGGCGACAAATTCAAATCTTACGTTAATTTTGAGACACCCTTTACTTATTATACCATGTTTGCATTTAAACCAATATGATTGAGTGTACTCAATTACAATGTTCAACCGGTTTTTTAAATTATTCATTGCGTAGACAAGTGAACGAGCTCATGGCCCACCTGGCGTTAAGTGATTATCAGAGCCCATAGACATCACAACGTGAATGGCGTCATCTAGCATAAGACTCTAGATCTATTCACGATTGTTGAGTAATTACGCATATTACAATTTTTGCAGATTTGATTTTTATTAAACTACAAATTTATATTACGCCTTCATTGTGGAAGTCGTTCTTGAGCATATGTCGAGTTCCTATTTTATCAGAAAAACCTGGTACATGTCTGCGGTTTTCGATCCCCGGGACAATCGAATCGTTCGATACGAATGCAGCGCGCGACTTGTTCTTTAGGCGACGACGACTTCAAATAAGTTCCATCTTTATTATTAGATATAAATCTAGGAATGGATATTTGAAGAGAGACCTGAAATTGCCTCTAATAACTGCTATTTTCTTTAACAATAATCATATCTTGGTTCGTATCTCCGGTTGGCGTCATCAAAGCGACGTATGCAATTTTTTAAATTTTATTCTTAAACTTGTAAACAAAATTTACATACAGACACACTTCTGTTACAATTTAACAGAGATTTTGTACCACAATTATCCGTGAAAACGAAGAGTATTCGAAATATCATAAATTATGATGTGTACGAAATAAACTTCCTTTTTCTCCATCTTATCCCACTAGATGGGGTCGGCACAGCGAATTTTTCTATTACATTCTCTTCTATCAGCCGTCATCTCAACACTCACTCTTCTCTCTCTCTCTCTCTCTCTCCCTTTCATGTCGTCATTCACACACTCCATCCTCTTCCCCTCTACCTTGCACTATCATTTCCGTACATCTCCTAGTCACATGCATCTTCTCTCTACGCTTCACATGTCCATACCACGCTAACCGTCGGCATTTAATTTGTTGCTTACCGTGGCTACTTTCACACTTCCTCTGATATACTCATTCCTTATCTTATCCACTCTTGTCACTCCTTACATGCTTCTCAACATTCGCATCTCCGCCGCATGCAAACGCTAGATTTATTCGAAAAGTATTTCAAAATACTTGTTCATCATTAGGTGGGACCACACCGATCCCCAGCAGTACTTGTTTGAAGAGTTCGTTGTCCATGGCTTCGGTTGACTCATCGGTTATGGGCACCAGCGGTGTGCCTTCAGAGTTCGGATCGTAGCCTTCCGCTTCTTGGTCCAAGGCTAGTTCTTCTAGATTTTCCGCCAGCCATTTTAATGCTTCGGATAATCCTACAGGGGAATTTAATTTTTCGATATTGTCATTGAAGAAATTAAATAGTTTTGTGGCACTTTATTTAAATTGCATTGATTGGTGGACGAACTCATAGCCCAACTGGCGTTAAGTGGTTACCGGAGCCCATAGACGTCTACAACGTAAATGTCGCCACCCACCTTAAGATATGAGTTCTAAGGTCTCAGTATAGATACAAGTTGGTTAGAAGGAGTTAGAAACTTTATTCATAGATCGCTGAGTGTCTTGCCGGATCTTCTCAATGGGTAGATTCCGAACCGGTAGTAGATTTTTTTTTTTCCTACCAAGCTAATAGCCTAAGCTGATAGCCTTGAGAGGCTATTTCAGCCTAACTTTAACTAGTAGAGCTCACGGGGCTCAATCTGGAGTGATGCTAACACTGACCCTAGCAAGAGCAGAGCTTCGCCGGATCGGAAACGCAACCCACTGAGAAGATCCGGCGACAAACTCAGTGGGCTGTGTCTGTGGGTTAATTCGAAGGGCTCGACGAGTGAATTTTTCTCGCCGGATCTTCTCAGTGGGTCGATTCCGACCCGGTAGTAGATTCAGCGAAGCACTACTCTTGCTAGGGCTAGTGTTAGCAATTCTCTCAGGTTGCGCCAGTGAGTTCACCTACCGGTTCACGCGAAGTTGGAATAGCCCTTTAAGCTACGAGCTTAGATGTTGGATTAGGTAGGGTATAAAAAAACTTTTGATGCGAGTACCATCGATTTACAATTGTTGGAACGGACGAAACATGTCGGAACACAAACAAACTAACGAATGTTATATCAATAACGTATTAAGTTTGATTATTTTAGGAGGATCGAAAGTTTTTGTTCGGTCCTGGGGCAGTTATCGGCTTTCCAAATTAATTCTGTAACTAACGCACGTTCACCAACGACTTTAACCTGGACTATAAGAGATATACTGAATATAAAACTATCTAGGCTACGGTCTGCACTTGGGTATATTTCTTAAAAAAAAATATTAGTTTACGATAAGTAGCATTCCGCTTATCTCTATTATGGAGGTGTTTATTTTTTATATTCTATAAACATGATTCACTTCTATATATTTGTATGAATTCTTCTAATACATCGCGGTTCGACATTATGCAATGTAGGACATCCGCACAGGAACACGTCCGCAACATCAACTGAGCGCTCGGAACACACAATCTCAAATTTTTAATCAAACAGTTTGATCAAACTGTTGGACCAACAAAAATACGAAAGTTCATATTTTTTCAAGCCATTTGATTGCTCATTAAATTTGATCAAAATTTCCAATAGACATTCATGCCAATTAGATGAAACTCTCTGAACAAGCCAATTTGATCAAATTATTTGAACGTCTATGGGCCCATTAAGCGCTTATTGGTGGTGGGGTGTGAAGTGGCCTCGTGTTAGTGATTTTAATTTTGTTGAGTGATTAATTATTGCAGTCGATTTTTTTGTCCTACCTATTGGCTGATAGCCTGAGGGGCTATTCCAGCTACGCTATGTCTGGTAAGGGCGCTCACGGATTAAACCTGAGAGAGTGAGCTAACACTGACCCTAGCAAGAGCAGTGCTTAGCAGAATCTACCATCGGATCAGAATCGCGACCCACTGAGAAGATCCGACCAGAAACTCAGTGGCTTGTTTGTGGTTACCTAGCCGACGTTCCAAGCCACTGGACGATCGGACTATTAGGCTATTATTATAATTTTCATCAGTTTTTGATACTTACCGTTGTCGACGGCGCTGACCAACAACTTGGCGACTTGGCTCGCATTCAATTCCACGCGTTTAGCTTTAGTCTGATTTTTAATTTTGCGGGGCTTTGGTGCCGTCTGTTTCGATGAGAACGAAGCACGCTTGGTATCGCTCTCCGATTCGGATCCGGAACTAGAAGATTCATCGTCTGAAACATAATATATCTAATGATTTAATTTTAGTCCTTTTTGAAAATTTCAAATTAAATAACGCGAAAAATTTCACTGCTAGAATTGCCAAAGAAAAAGTTTTTATTGAAATTTTGGTTATTATAAAAGTTATTATAGTTATTTAGATATTCCTCGTAGTTAGCATTAAAAAGATATATTTACTATTAGAAAAATCGTTTGTTTGTTTTTATTTTGCATTTATTAACATAAACAAATGTGTTTAAATTGCTCAATAGTCATAAAACTTGAAGAGCAACGCGCCATGTCGTTTTCAAGATCCCATTTACGTTGATAATAAGATAGAGAAAATATAAGGAAAGTAAGGAACAAATTTCACGCAGGATTTACTTTCCAATAGTCTATTTGAGACTTATTGGAAGGCTTCAGAAAAAAGTTTAAGCCTGTACCCGCCTAATGAGAGAACGGAAAGACGAGCAACGGGCTCTGAAACGAAAATAATCAGTGCATTACATTTTGACAACGGAATAGTGTTGCTCTGAGCGGATAGCATTTTAAATCTTTCTTTGATTTTATTAATTGCTCATTAAAATTAACGAAAAAGCTTTCTTGGAACGTACTTCTCTATTGCACGTTTTGTTTGCTGATTGAGGGGCTGCACCGAAAAAAGTGTAACAGTGAATAACTACATCAAAAACTGCCATCTTTTTGCATTATCTTTTGCGTTATCGGAAAGTGCCTCAAAAAGCCTAGCCTAAGAATCAAAAATATTTTATACTAGCGACCCGCCCTCGCTTCGCTTCGGAAACATTAAAACACACATGAAACAAAAAAATAAAATAAAAAAATAAATAAAAAAGTAGCCTATGTTCATCAGGGACAATGTCGGCTTCTAATGGAAAAAGAATTTTTCAAATCGGTCCAGTAGTTTCGGAGCCTATTCGAAACAAACAAACAAACAAATCTTTCCTCTTTATAATATTAGTATAGATATAGATATCTCTGTATATAAAAATGAATTGCTCGCTAAAATTCGAGAATGGCTGAACAGATTTGGCTAATTTTGGTCTTGAATTATTTGTGGAAGTCCAGAGAAGGTTTAAAAGGCAGATTAATATGAAAATGCTGCATAAAAGTTTATTAATTTATACAAAAGTTTACGTATTTTATTTATCGATTGAGGCACTACGAAGTCTGCAGGGTCAGCTAGTACATAATAAATAATAAATTAGTGCATAAGTAAGTAAATAGTGATATAAAACACTCGCATCTATTCACGTTTTATGATTATTTTAAACTATTTTATATACCTTTTATTTTTTATTTAACCATTACTCAATACGAAGACACAAAAAAAATTGCAAAATTCCGCTCCAACCGAATGTCTATAAGATGACTTTCTTTTATTTGACGAATCAAACGAAATTAAAAATGAGTGAAATGCTGTAATGACCCGCCTAATGTTTAAGTTATCGAGCCGTTGTCCACTTAGCGATAAAATACAAAAATCTCCACAGCGTTGGTTAATCTATGATTGCTTTGTTGTCGGAATAGGCTGCGGTCTTTAATATTCCTTAGCGTCCGTACTTGAGATAGGAATTAGGAGGAAGATAGGTAAGGATACTATTAACGTCGTTATGACCTAAATAATAGGAGGGCAGGTGTGCGCTCGTATCGAACGATGCGACCGTGTCCGTGTTCAAATCCCGCAGGCGAATAACAATGTTTCTAATGAAATACGTACTTGACACGTGTTGTCAAATGATTTCCATGAACATTGTATGAAAAGGCCTAATTCTGCCGCGTTTGAAGTGAGGTGCAGCCGATATACATCGAGAATTCGGTTTTATTTTTCAAGCTGCGCGGCAGCCCTCACATTTTGATATTTATGTACTCTGGTAAACTTTTAATAAAAGGGAAAAAATTGTGCAGATTTGAAAAAAAAATCTGAACAATACCTTTACATATTATTAACTATATAATGATATGGTATATTCTAAAAGTGGTCAAACAAAAATAAAAGACTTAATACGTTTTCTGTACAATATTAAGAAAACAACATTTAAAGCCTTTATTTTCTACAAATTAATTTATACAGTAGTATTCTTGAAATAAATAAAACTCGTTTTTTTTCTCAATGCCAGAGTTATTTTTTTATTTTTTTTATTGTTTAGAACAGCTCTCAACACATCTGCTCATAGTCTAGCTGACTGATTGCAAGATAAAGAAAAAAAACTGTTTAGATGGGTGGTCGAGCTCACAGCCCACCTGGTGTTAAGGGGTTACTGGAGCCCATAGACAACTGCAACGTAAAGGCGCCATTCACCTTCAGATATAAGTTCTTAGGTCTCAGTATAGTTACAACGGCTGCCTCACCCCTCAAACCGAAACGCATTACTGCTTCACGATATAAATAGGCAGAGTGGAGGTACCTACCCGTGCAGACTCAGAAAACGTCCTACCACCAGTAATTACGCAAATTATAATTTTGCGGGTTTGATGTTTATTACACGATGTTTTATTCTTTTACCGTGTAAGTCAATCGAGAACATTTAAATATGTATTTCATTAGAAAAATTGGTATTCGCCTGCGGGATTCGAACACCGATCGAGAACATTTAAGTATGTATTTCATTAGAAAAATTGGTATTCGCCTGCGGGTTTCGAACACCGGTGCAGCGCTAGATACGAATGCACCGGACATCTTATCTTTTAGGCCACGACGACTTCAAAATCAGTCTACCTATATAAGCTCCCAAATACCAGCTTCTTCCAATTGACTCCATACAAAGCAGGGTCGTTCGGATTGTCGATAATCCCATTCTCACGGATCGTTTGGAACCTCTGGGTCTGCGGAGGGACTTCGGTTCCCTCTGTATTTTGTACCGTATGTTCCATGGGGAGTGCTCTGAGCAATTATTCGAGATGATACCGGCATCTCGTTTTTACCATCGCACCGCCCGCCACCGGAGTAGAGTTCATCCATACTACCTGGAGCCACTGCGGTCATCCACAGTGCGTTTCCAGAGGTCTTTTTTGCCACGTACCATCCGGCTATGGAATGAGCTCCCCTCCACGGCGTTTCCCGAGCGCTATGACATGTCCTTCTTCAAACGAGGCTTGTGGAGAGTATTAAGCGGTAGGCAGCGGCTTGGCTCTGCCCCTGGCATTGCTGAAGTCCATGGGCGACGGTAACCACTCACCATCAGGTGGGCCGTATGCTCGTCTGCCTACAAGGGCAATAAAAAAAAAAAAGAAAACTCTTTTTTTTTAAAAACTAAACAAGTTTTGTATAAAAATTACATAAAAAAAGTTTTTCTTTACATCTATAAAATCCGTTGACCTAAAATCGAAACATAACTATCTATTTTTTATAGTATATTATATTTATAGTTTTATATCCCAGACTCACAGACGCGATGACTAGAATTTAGTTTCTAAGAGACTCACCGTTCGATTTATCGTCGCCCGAGCGGGTGCTTTTACCTTCGGAGTTCTTTTGTCTTTTTTTACGACACTCATTCTTATCCTTTACGAGGCCGAGTTCCAATAACCTCTCCACGTAGCTTTTCTTCTGCCGTTTCCGAGGCATACGAGATATGATCAAAGCCATTGGATCTAAATCAAATCAAATCAAAAATCAATAAAAAATTATTCAACATAAATTTTGAATTCGTCGTGGCCTAAGAGATAAGACGTCCGGTGCATTCGTGTTGAGCGATGCACCTGTGTTCGAATCCCAGGCGGGTACCAATTTTTCTAATGAATTACGTACTCAACAAATGTTCACGATTGACTTCCACGGTGAAAGAATAACATCATGTAATAAAAGTGAAACCCGCAAAATTATAATTTGCGTAATTACTGGTGGTAGGATCTTCTCTGAGTCCGCGCGGGTAGGTACCACCGGCCTACTTATTTCTGCCGTGAAACAGTAATGCGTTTCGGTTTGAAGGGTGGGGCAGCCGTTGTAACTACACTGAGATCTTAGAACTTATATCTCAAGGTGGGTGGCGCATTCACGTTGTAGATGTCCATGGGCTCCAGTAACCACTTAACACCAGGTGGGCTGTGAGCTCGTCCACGCATCTAAGCAATAAAAAAAAATTTAATTACATACATACTTGTTGAACGTCAAAAAGAACTACCGCCAATTCACAAAAACTAGCCTCTGTTTTGAGAAAAACTGGCAAGATACTCAGCGGGTATGTCTTTTTTTCTTTTAATAATAGATAAAAAAAAAAATATTAGATATTTTCTTTAATATTCATTTAGAGATATCTAGAAAGGAAAGTGATTTTTAAACGCGTCAATGGCTGGATCGGTGTTTCATCCAATACGATCCCACAAGGTAAAGTCACTAATTAATCGAGTGAAAAATGTTTTTCTATGTCAGCGAACGTGGAAATGTAAAATCCAGTTCTCGTCGCCATTACAAAAGGCCTTTTATTTACATTGACCGTTAATTGAGAGAAAATATATTAGAGGGCCCAATATTTGTTTTTGCTGATTGAAAACGTATTGTTGACGTCTGACGGCCATTTTCGTTGAATTCTTTGCAACATCGAATATTGAGATGAGAGAAAAAAATGTTTTGTGTTCGACGGAACGAAGAATTTCATTTAACATTTAAGATTCGTATCCCTAACGTAATTGTAATTTCAATCGTGTTTTTATTGCTTGTGCTTGAAATTAATGTTAATGTGACGAGCCGAAGTCACAAAAAAACATCAAAATTTCACAAATATTTAAACATTATCATTAGTACATAAACGACACTCAATAAGCGATTATATTTCACGGCTGTCTTGAAACAGGAAGCTCTCGCTTCAATTAAGTTTACAAAGTAAAAGCTTCGTCGCTGCACGCGGTTTTATTGGCAGTAAATGCAAAACTTTCAAGAACCTAAGCAATACATCACTTACCAGTGGAGTCGGCATACTGCGGCCATAGTTCCCGGAGCATTTCGTCCTCTTCTGGGCTGAACTCTTTGGGCACTCTCTCTCTCGCTCGCTCCTTGTTACTGCGCTTCGTAGGAGCTTTGAATATGAGTCCTAGTTCTTTTAGTTTCTTTATAACCGACCGTCGGGTTCGAGTACGGTCTATCAGGTTTTCCAGGATCCAATCGATGACGTCTAAATAACGTTTAAATATATTTTTTATAGATTTTATACATTAATTTCTGTGCAAGGTTTTTTTATATAACACATGAATTAATTAACAATAATTTATTATTAAATTGGTATAATGAGGTTCGCAAGAGAGTGTTAACTATGAATGTGGAAGGATATCGAGGAAGAGAGGAAGAGGAGAGGAAGAGGGAGTAAGAAGAAACGGATGGATTGCGTCAAAGACGATATGGGTAAAAGGGGAGTGAGCGAAGAAATTGTATATGATAGAAGAGTATGGAAGGAGAAAACATGTTGCGCCGACCCCAGGTGACTGGGAGAAGGGTAGGATAATGATGATGATGATGATGAATTTATTAAATTATTATAAATAGTCTGCGTGTCATATTGTCGTTATAAAAGATTTTATTACTGTAGATTGTATTGGACACTAAAACAGATATGGTGAATTGCAAATTTTCTAGCACAAACAGGTCTATCAATCATTCATTCTGGTCTGAAAGGCTGGCTAGCCGTTATGGTAATACAACTCTGACTTTGGCCTAATGTACCCGGCAAGCGAGAGCGTTCACGATATGGCATTTCATCTGCCCATGTCTCAAATATACGAGTATAATCGGCAGTTTTACTATCCTCCCACAAACAAACATACTCTAAACCCGTACAATAACGTTATTATCTCACTAAACAATAAAAATAGATACCTATCATGATAATATTTAAAATATTCAATTTTACTATTTAACTGTTAGCTGTGTGTTTCAAGTCGTTTTTAATAATTTGAACAATAAAAACCATGTTTAGCTAATTCGTGTATTCGAGAGCCTAATTAAGTGTTCTCTTTAATGACGTCATAAACATGTGACTATAACATTATAATTTAAGGAGTTCTTAAGCTCAGTTCAATTCGCACAGCAAAGGGAAGTGTTACCGAAACGAGCGCTATACGATCATTTTGATAGCTCTGTACCCGTTTAGAGAAGCCCTCACAAAATGAGGGGCTTCATTACGGATCTTACCTCTCGGGTAAGGATTCAGTTTAAGAATGATTTCTTTCTCACGGCTCACACACTAATCCTGCCTTACATTTGAGTTAGTAAATGGTTTCAACACAATTCTGCTACATATATTTAACATCGTGTAATAAAAATCAAACCCGCAAAAATTATAATTTGCGTAATTGCTGGTGGTAGGACCTCTTGTGAGTCTGCACGGGTGGTACCACCACCCTGCCTATTTCTGCCGTGAAGCAGTAATGCGTTTCGGCTTGAAGGGTGGGGCAGCCGTTGTAACTATACTTGAGACCTTAGAACTTGTATCTCAAGGTGGGTGGCGCATTTACGTTATAAATGTCTATGGGCTCCAGTAACCACTTAACATCAGGTGGGCTGTGAGCTCGTCCACTCATCTAAGCAATAAAAAATAAAAATAAAGTACCTAATATGTGACCAAAGAAACGACAATGGAAAACGAATTTGGCGAAAGGTTATTTTTATCGTATTGTATACTGAAAACAGGCTGACGTTGTAGTGATAGCTGTAAAAATGATATCAGAGAGAGCCGCTATTTGAGTAAATAATAATGGCGACTAATTTAAATATTTACTGTTTTATTATACTGAGTTGTATTATATAATTATTGAATTTGTACAATGGATCCATATAGCTTCGTATATAGTTGCGAATGTAATCAAGTGTGACTTAACAGATAATATTGGTATAACGTGTTTGCTTTGTCGTATGTGTATTCAAAGGGTTTATTTGATGACATCACCTTGATGTATGTTATTAATGTTTCAGGCGTGTGTGATTAATTTTTGATTAATCAGTTTTGATGAAAATGTTGACATCTGTAGTATGAAAATACATTTAATATAGATTGAAAGTGTTACATTAATATTGATTAGTTTTGGTTACGAAGTGTTGCGAAGCTGCAGGGGTTGGTTCTAATTAATACTGACGCATGACAATCGTCAAATTACAATAGCCGTAATTGCAATGCACTTGAGACTAAGTGGCCAGTGCATGTTGGTATATAATTTCCGGTATTCCGTATGCAATATATAAATCGATATTATCGGTATTCAAGTACGGGATAGTAGAATACAATGTCGGGGCGCGATGAACTACTTTTCTCTACAGGTGTTGCGCTGCGGATCATGTCAACTCTCGCTTTTGTTTTGTCAAGAATAAAGTCGCTTTAAATCATTTCAACGCTTTAGCTTTAGTCAGAGGGTATTTCTTCTACACACAGACCAGATTTCTGAACGGATTTGTTAGATTTTATTTGCTTAGGATAAATTAAAATACTTCTGATTGTCGAAGCCCGACTCGTTTTTTTGACTAAGAACATTATCGCATTTAATTAAAACTTCTTTTACAGGTTAATCTCACGTTTATTACTTCAGAAGTTTCGAATAGGTTTACAGTAGTATAATTTTCCATAGAGAATTAGATGATGATTAGCACAATATTCTACCTTGGGGCGGCTGATGGCTTGAGGCTGCGCTTAATGCTATTGTTTCCAATACATGTGGAATAAAAGCTTAACACAGTTGTGATATCAGAATATTGAATAAGTCATCAATATTTTAGAACTCTGTTATGGTCGGTAGTAATATCGTAAAATTGCCAAACCACAAACAGATAGCAAAAAGTAAAAAAAAAACCAGTGTGGTAAGTAAATATACAGCGATCATCTGTTGGCATGTACTTTTTTAATAGCAGAGTTAACAAGCATACGCCTCGCGTGTTGTTAAGCTATCACCAATGGTAGTTTCTTACAAAGCTTCTGTGAGTACTTTTTAATTATTTTTTTTGCCCGCGCATTCTAGACTGACGAGCAAACGGTCCACTTGATGGTGAGTGGTTACCGTCGCTCATGGACGTCAGCAATGCCAGGGGCAGGCCCAAGCCGCTGCCTACCGATAAATCCTTACATCAATGTAACTTCATTACACCTATGATAATTCGTTCCTTAAAATTTCACTCCGAAGACCTCCTATATCGATCATTCTCATTCAAGGGATCAAAGCAAGCTAAACCTAAAGTGTATTTAGGGAGATATTGTATAATTAATCCAAAGAATAATTAAAGGATCTTTCATGTTCAAATGCCACTATATGAAGGGTTTTTCAAAGGAAGATGAATCACGTGTCTGTGATGAAGATTATTAAAGTAATAACGTTATTTTATCCTTTTAAGCCGTTGATACAACGTTATCACAATAGCATGACATAATTTAATATTACGTGTTGGAAGCATAGATTGAGATGCGTGTACGTTATCAAGAAACATATTTCTAAGCTCCGAAGTTGCCCTAAAACTTCACAATGTCTTGTTTTCCGCTGAACAAATACATCATCCTATTATGATGGTGGCATTACTTATGCTGCATTAGATATAGGCACCTAATTCATTTTTATTACATTACGCGCGACCCCTCGCCGACGTACGCAACATCAATGTTTGCACGGAATGGTGAATCTTGTTTTTTTATGTTAACATCAATAATGGTCTATTTTGTTGAGGGGCCACGAGAAAATCCAGGGCAAATGTTTTATATGACATAGGCGTTTCTATATTTTGTTTGATATAACAAGCTTTGGCCTCTGAGTAAAACGAATTTCTCAAAATGAGAATTTTATCTAAATAATCGTTCAATTGATTAGATTTGAGTTTAAAAAAAAACATGGAAATATTTTGCACATTTATACGTAATCTTAGAGAGATAATTATTATTATATTATAATTATTATATTACAATAATAATTGAGGTGACATCTGTCATGTACTTATTGTCAATTTGTCAATGTTTTTATTGATGATCACTTTGTTGGTGCAACTAAATAACACATAAACACCGAATATCATATAATAAACAGAATATCTTTGAACCTTGTAAACGCAGCAGAAAATAATCCATCTATGTTGCGAACATCGCAGCGAATGGGAGAATTTATTGCGATACAGATCTATACACCACATTGTACGATATATTATTTTGAGGTTGTACGTGTAGGTTTTGGGCTCTTGATACTCTCAAACAGCCAAGATATAGATGTGAAATGAATGCCACGTGAAAAGTAAAGAGTGCCCAGATGAATTCTTGAGACTTATAGCGTTTGACCCTGGGATTTATTAAGGGTAATTGTCAACAATAGCCATTGTTAAGATAAATCGTAATCCGTAAAGTGAGCCAAGTACTTTTTAATATTATATTCAACATAAAACACAGATGGACAACCCTTAAATTTCTTTAGAACAAAGGGTCTTTAATATTAATATTCTGCTCCCTTAAATAAATAACTTTTCTTTTTTTCTGTACCTATGCTGATAGCCTTGAGAGGCTATTTCAGTTTCTCCTTGACGTGTAGGTGAGCTCACGGGGCTCAAACCAGAAGTGTTGCTAACACTGATCTCAGCAAGGGCAGTGCTTCGCAGAATCTATCACCGGATCGGAAACGCGACCCACTGAGAAGATCCGGCAAGAAACTCAGTGAGCTGTGTCTATGGGTTAATAAACAACGGTAATAAAACCATAGCGCGATGTAAATCGCCGCCTACGAAATCCAAAAAGAAAATCGGAACTAATATCAAATTACGACCCAATTAGAAAACTATTAAAATAATAATCCGACGGAAACGCATTACCGATATTATAGTCCGTTCTACGGTTAGGGCCGTGTCATTTATTCATGAAATCTAGAACTGAAATTTTGTTAAAATATTGTTATAGTTCAACTAATTATCCTAAAGGAATATCAGAATAAAATATATATTATGAATTAACACTCAGGGAATCGCCTATATTTATGTAAATTTTCATTCAAACCTGGCCAACGGTTTACATGCAAGCTTCGTAACAAATTTCACATTTATAACATTCGTAGGTATAATGTTCGTATTTTAGTTAATAAGGAAATACATTGATTACGGCACCTAAAGTACGTACTTGTTTTTATTGGAAATGAAACGTTTCAATTGTAATACAGAATGTAAATAAATTTAGAGTATCAAATTCAAAAAATCCAAATTATCGACCAAGTGTTGTTGTATCTGTTGATAGTATGATATACGAATATATGGCTGATACCAAGCTTTTGTAGTGTCTGGAATATGATCGATTGCTCCATACCCACTTTGTGTAAGGGGATCACTGCAATCCTATTTTCTTTAACACCTCATTCCATATTGTAATTTGATAATGAACACGAAAAAATATGTGAAATGGCGAAAATCGAAAGAAGTTTTTAAAATAATATAATATACGTGTTCCAATTACAAAATAATTAAAAAGTTAAATAAAAGAAAAGTTTTGTTGTAACAGTATTTATGGCCAGACTAGTTACTTTTAAAAGTCGTCACGAATATATTCAAGAGATTTATTCCATTCAGGCCGAAGTGACAGAACGTTGTCTTATTTGATTTTTTTTTAAATGCCCCCACCATTCATTACCATTACACTATTAAAGTTGCGAAAGAGTAATGCATTTCGGTTCGATGACTCTAAGTCTCACGCTGGGTCAAAGCGCATTGTCTGATATTTAAGGGCTTAAGTTATTGCCTGAAATAAGTGATATAAATAGTCTTTATTGAGCCATCGACTTTAATATGATCACGTATCTCCGTAGATCGTTCTACATTAGTCCAGTTAAATTAATGAAATAAGGACAAGAACCTCGGAGTGAGAGATAGTCAACTATAAACTTGTATAAACGTTTATTTTGACACCCTAAAATTTGTCTCAAAACCTACTTATCGTAGGGTAAGTGTTATTAAATATAAGGTGAATTATATTAAATGAATGGATACTGAATTATTTTAAAAATATATGATAAATGCAGAAACCTAAATTTACATTGCCCATCGAAATTAACAAGGGAGGTGTTCAATTTGTTAATTTAAATTTAAACTACATATACTCCTGTGACCAGGAAAAAACAGTTAATTTTGATAAAAACATTCAATTCTAAAACAAAATCGGTTATCTATTTGGACAAAAAGAGAGATATGCATTAAAAAAGAGTTGACCCACTTTAACTTTAAATCGTCAATACCAAATGGTAACTTAAATAACTGCATCAAGATGTAATGATGCGAAATGAATGTTATTTATTTATTTATGTAAACACAAAAAAGAAGACACAGTACAGAGTAATAGGAAAATTATGTACAAAGGCACTGCTTATTTCTTTAAGAAATCTCTTCCAGCAGACCTGCGAGAGGATTATTAAAATAATAATTAAAAGTGATGAGTGTGTGTAGAACAGCTAAAATAACAAATACAACCTGAGAATTATAGTAGTGCACATAGCACACACATAGCAGATATTGTTAAACCTGAATACAAAATATTATAAGTTATGAATACCTTGATCTGTTTCCGGGTTGGTCTGATTCTCCATGTAAAGCCGTCTGAGTTCTTCTTCTTGTTCTTCGGACCAAACGCCTTTGCCCAGTTTGTCTCTTCAAATAATCAAAATTTCATTAAAAAAAGTTATAAGTTTTTTTTTATTTTTTTTTTATTGCTTAGATGGGTGGACGAGCGCACAGCCCACCTGATGTTAAGTGGTTACTGGAGCCCATAGACATCTACAACGTAGACGCGCCACCCACCTTGAGATACAAGTTCTAAAGTCTCAGTATAGTTACAACGGCTACCCCACCCTTCAAACCGAAACGCATTACTGCTTCACGGCACGCAGTACATCATCGCGTCGCTTGTAAGTCCTAGAAAGCTATGTGTTACCGTATATTGTATATTTTCTTAATTGTTGCATTAAAATGTATTTGTATTAAAATACATATTAAGCCGTTAGAGGTTAATATGAAGTCCAGATAATAATAATACATTTAATTTTACCATAGCTGGTTGTCATAAATTGAAAGTGATTTATTGGTGTCGAAAATTTTTGATATTATAAATAATTAGCTTTTACCTGCTGTCGGTGTAGAGATCGTATCCGTATTCAATGTCCAATGCGTCTTTGGAATTTGTCCAGAACAACAGTTCTATGAAGGCTTTCGGATTTTTAGAGGCTATTTCGGTGAATTTTCGAAAAATATATATACCGAACTTCTCTAATTCCTGTCGAAACGTTTAATTAATTTTTAATTATCTATAATGTGTTGTAATTCAGTTAATAGAATCAATTGATATCTTTCAATGAATCTAATGTCGCTTTTGTGTATAAAAGACGTTTATTTTGTGCTCTGATAGAAATCAAATTTTGCGAAGGTTTAGATTTTTCGATACACCGCGAGGGCACGAACGACATCCCCGAATCTACGAGGGGCGATAAAATCTGTCCCCCGGTCTATTCCCGGTCGAGCCCCGAGTTAGAGTGAGACGGAAACATCTGATTTTGTTCACACGTGCCTCGTAACTTGTAATAACGAAAAAATATCGAGAGTAAGAAACAGTTATAGTTATCTACGAGTGGATTATCTGTTTTGCATTACGTAGGAGAATTGAATATAAGAAAAATATATTTTCGGTTATTGAAAATATCTTAACCTTTATGGGCGATATTTTTGTACAGAATTTTCAGAGTACAAAGCTAGGTCAAGGGATCGTGTAGCGTATTATAAATGTAAACCTTCGCTGCTAATGTATAAGAACAAAAATGTATTTTTAATTAGACGCACAAAAGAGTTTAGTATTTTTTTCGGCTTTTATTCTTTTCTTTTAACAATAATTTTTTTTCCACTTTGACAAGAAAAAGACCATAACAAAATAAACAGAAAATGTAATACAATATATGTATAAAATGAATTAATATTTTGAGATGTCAGATTATAATTAGATTACGACCACTTGCGGCGGACCCTAGTTAGATTTGCTACTTAAAAATATTCGAGGTCTAAAATATTTAAACGTTGATTAAATACCTTATATTGCTGCATGGGATGGTTGAATATTTTTTGAAATATCAAAAACAAGCTGGCTTGAAACATCATGGAGGGTCGTTTGCAATCCCAAGCTACTCTGTGCAGCATTTTGATGGCACAGTGATTTGTGTGGGGTAAATTTTTGTCGTATCGTTCCAACAGCGAGATGCACGAGCTCACAACTTTTGGATGACAAAACCTAAAATTATCCCAAAATTTTTGGATGACAAAACCACATTTAATTGTTATTGTTTACTCTAAATTAGGCTAGAAGATCTTACATGACAATAGTTTGTGTTCAGTTTTAATAATAAAAAAAGCTGAAATACAACACATTTCTATTACTGGTAAAAGTAAAACTGGGATATTATCTACTCCTACCCTTAATTTTCTATCCTGAGTATTGTGTAGTATTGAGGCCGTATGGGCTGGTAGGTATTGTCTCGTTTATTTCTGCATCATGGATTCAAATCTGAATCATAGATTAGCTATTATTCTTTTTTTTTTGCTACCTATGCTAGTAACCTCGAAAGATTATTCTAATTTCAGCGAACGTGCAGGGGAGCCTACGGGGCTTAGTCTGGTGACTTGGTAACACCAGCCCTAGCAAGGGCAGTGCTTCGCATAATCTACTACCGGATCGGAATCGCGACCCACTGAGAAGATCCGGTGAGAAACTCAATAGGCTGTGTCTGTGGGTTCATGAAGAACCCTTAGTCGCATTCGACTAGAACGGTGACCGGTGCTTGTACTATCTAATAGCAACGATAGTGGATCGGGATGATCCGAAGTGACATGTTTTGGGCGACGGCGACTGTTTAACGCGTGGTTCTCAGGATCGTGTATAACACTATTATTTCAAATAACATGTTGATTTTATGTTTCAGTGTAGGTGTCGCCTGTATTCACGTAACGGTGTCGAGTAGTCACTTAACTCTAGGCGGGCCTTGAGTTGCTAATTACTGGAGAAACAAGTATGTCGTGAGCACGTCACACAAGTGAACGCACTTAGAAATACTAAACGTTACGTATAACACATATGGAGTCCTGTCGAACATAAAGCACCTGGGCCAAATGGCTTACACAGCAAGATTGACAGAAGATGCCTATACTAGAAGATACCGGTAATTTGCACATTCATAGGACACACTAGTGGAGCGAACAACCTTACTGTCTATTGTTTATATTTAATTTAATCTATTGGACGCACGGAATGTTTACTTGAATTTTTAATTTTTTTCCCTGCGACCTATTATAATTAGCAATACAGTTAGTCATAAGTATACTATAGAAAAAAGAATAAGACGAAAGACTTAGATATTATATAGTTTCAATTATGGTATGCGCTTTACTGAATGAAATGGAAAATTATAATACTAAGGCTTATTAAAATTTAAAAGACAGGTAAAATTACATTGCAGGAACTTATAAAAAATATGGATTCATTTTTTTTCTTTATCGACAGTGTTTCAAAAAGCTTAAAAAGTTATTATTGCTTTCATAAAATCACTTTAATGGCAGAGTGCGCTTGCCAAATTGCGTTATACGTAAATTACGATGTATAAACATTGTTCATTCATCGATTACTTTTAATGTTTTTGGTAGACAGCGGCTTGGCTCTGCCCCTGGCATTGCTGAAGTCCATGGGCGATGGTAACCACTCACCATCAGGTGGGCCGTATGCCCGTCTGCCTACAAAGGCAATAAAAAAAAATGTTTTGTATTTTTAACAGAGTTCTTTTGAAATAATTTTAAAATACTTTTAAATACAAACGACATTCTAGTTTGAATTACGCATAACGAATTTCAAGACCGAGACTAGTCCAACCTCATAGGTATGTACATTAAACAGTTATGTCACGGTAATTTACTTACAAATTTTTTAAGCACAAAGACAAGCATAATCTAATTGTCGTTTTACCTTTGGAAGCAATGTACACAGTGCGACCTGACCCAATGAACAAATGTTCCGCTTCCAACTGGGACGTGATTTTATCACAAACGCAAACAGACAAAGATTATTTAACCAATTTTCACGAGGACTCCCGAGAGAGGGAGCACACCTTTTAATGTTATACTCGTACAAAAGCCGCTCGCTAACCATTCTAACGCAATCGTATTTACTTAGGCTTGAACTGACCTGTGCGTCATATATGATATTATATCGATCTAATCGAACAAAGAACTCTATAGCCGTTCCACCAACCACACGACGTATGTTTGCAAAACAGTTTGGCTTGTTCTGGGATACTGTTTTTTATATTTTGTATATCTATGGCAAACATAAAAAGTAGTGGATGTGTCCCTAAAATACTCCCATAAACTCGGTAGGACCGATTCCGACAGTGAAAATTTCAAGAAAACTCTTGGTCGACATCTGTAGCTTAGTAGCGATCGAAGCTAGCAAAGCGATCCGAGTTTGTTTTATATCATTTAATATGATATATGTAATAAATATAATTTGTTTTAGTACAATTATAATGAAATTAAAGTAACTGATGGTGAGGCTTGTGAGCTGATGCGACAAGGTACCACCGTCCCTACTATTTTTGCCGCGAATCACTGATGGGCTCCAGTTTGGAAGGTGAAATACAACACAGTTGTGACTGAACTCATATTTCAAAGTTGATGGCGGAATTTACGTTTAGTCTTGTCTATGTATAACCATTTAACTACATGGGTGTCGTGCGTATGTATTATAAAAAAAAAGCGCTTAAAAGGCAAAGCAAATACTAACAATAAAATTAATTTCATCTTTTTTAATTATCTTGTCGATACCGGTCAGGATATCAGAGCAAAGTTATAAAACTATTGTATTGACATCGGTCCTTAACGCGTGCGCTATTTTTTTAAGTTAATCAGACGTCTTGAAGTCGATAAAAATAAACAATATACATCAAGCTTATAAAGTCGTGTTCAAAAAAAAAAACTTATTATTACCAGTTCCAAATAAAGTTATATGACGACGACGTTGTTAATTACGTATGTTTAAGGCCCAGGTAAAATATACCTATTTTCATTTAAACTGAGAGAGATTCGAAGTTTTCGCCAGGCACTGATAAAATATTAACCATTATCTCATACGAACTGAGTGCTCACGGTAATCTACCGTAATGTTTCTCGACAGTGTAAAATGTATTCTCAGATTGTCGTAATTTTACCACAACGTAATAAGAACGAAGAGCTAGAATTACGAAATTATTTTGATAGTGGATTTTTTTTAATATCACAAATTCTATGGCATTATCCATTCATTAGTGACTAAGCTATTAAACTACGTACAATGGGAACTATAATTTAGAGAGACGCTTTTATGAATTGTAACGATCCAAGCAATTGCGTTAATGTTTTGGAAAATTTAGATTTTTTATTACTATTATTATTTCCTGATTGTGATAATATATCACCGGTATGTACATACTAGGCTGCGAAGCTAATGCGATTTTTTTCCGTATTGTGTTTTTTTATGAAATTATAAATTATATGATAGATTGCCATAAACAAAATAAAAAGACAAAGGGAGGTGGCTCATATGGCGCTGTTAATTAAAAACAGATATTTCGGACATTCACACAACGGCCCTTCCCCTCTTTAAGCCGGAACGCCTGATTGCTTTATGGCAGAAACGGACAGGATGTTGGTACGCACCCATGTGTGCTCACATACGATATAAATTGTACAAATATTATTATCTTGATATAGTGTAAATATATTTCAGATCATTATGATCACTAACGCAGAAAAGCATTTGGGACGATATTATTTGTAATAAAAAAAAAAACTTTCCTAAATTAAAAGTCAATATTATTATTTTTATGTCAATCTTTTAGATTAAGCTTTCTCCCTTCTTCCTAACTTCTGCAATAGGGACAGTGTCGTTAATCCCGCCACAGCGCTACGTGTGGTCACTGCGTCACGCGAGTGTGACCATATAATGTATAATTTTATACAATGTGCACTAAAAGGTACCTTTGAACGAAGTCTTGAAAATCGAAATCAGTCTCGACAATGGCAGTCGACCTTTCTTCTTCGTCTGAAACAAATTAGATTATGTTATTGATATCAATTTGTTTGTTGCTTAGTTACGTGAATGAGCTCAATGCACAGTTGATGGGTGGTAGAAATCGCAACCTCGAGACATGAAGCAGAGTTCTTAATGATGTTGTAGTTATACGCGCGAGTGATTCGCGGCAGAAATGTGCGGGTCTGTAATACGCTCTATCCGTACCCGCACTCGCACTCGCAACCGCACTCGCACTCGCAACCGCACTCGCACCCGCACCCGCAGTGCACTGTCTTGATATTTAGAGAATACGGATTTTAAAAGCACTAGAATATTGGAAGCGCGATTGATTGTATGTTTGTTTGTTTTTCGAGCAGTAATAGTTTGGAATTGCTGATGTCCATGAGCGACGGCGACCACTCATCATCAGGTTGGCCGTATTCTCGTTTGTCTACAAAGGAAAATATTAAAATCATCGCAATGAACCAGCAGGACACTCTAGTACTTAAAGCCCTCAAAAAACATTACTTGCCTTCCTCCTCGTATTCTGAACCTTGGGTTTCGTCGACTTCGTCAATTTCTGTGAATCAAACTCATAAGTGAATACGCAAATATTATTATGGGATTTTTTTCGTTAGATACATAGGTTACATATAACAAAAAGTTTGTGAGTATGTGAGTTTATTATCACAATTAAAGTTTTTGACACTCAATCTGGCCACAAAGTCAATCATCAAATTCATTGATCGCGTCATCACGCGCATTATAACGACACATTTTTAACAGAACCAAACACAAACATCGGGTTTTATTGATTCGGTTTCCGCGACTAGAGGACCCTGGTATATATAACATACAAAATTCAAAACCAAATAGACAGAATCGTCAATAGACACAGACGATATAAAATTTACTGATCGCGTTATCAATCATAGAAAATTCTGTTTCATAGAATGCAAATTAACGTAATGAAAATAAGGGTAAAAAAAACGAATCGGGAATCCCTGACACGGAAACCTAATGAGGCAAACGGATTTACCTGTGACATCTGTCACAACACCCAAATCAGTGTTATAAATCGTTTCCAGCATATTCAGCTCTTCGTCTTCAGCGATGTCGCTAGCACCGAAAATACCGTCTTCGGGCCACACCTCCCTGGACAAAACGGAGTCGTCGTTAGTACGTCGGTGCGGGGTCGGTACCGCGCGACTACTAACCAGTGTGCTTAGTGCGAGTTTTTTAACGTTCTCGATCGCGTAAAAGTTAACTCAAATTTGTATGGAGTTGGAACAGCGCCCCTAGCGACAAACGAAGGGAAACTTAAAACACTTGCACTAAAGGCTTCGTCAAACAGAACGCGTACTTAGCGCTGCGTTTTAACGTCGCGCTCTTTTCATGTCACATAAATTGACTAGATGAGTCCAATGCTCCTTGACGCAACGCATTCGCCAAATCATAGTGCCTTTCGACAGCAGTGTGAAAATTTTAATTTATTAAGATGAAAGATTAAGAAATTTATTAAGATGTCGGAGTGATTCAGATGTGGCATTGTATAAGCATGACTATTTTCTAACAAATTCTATCAATTTTTCGGGCATTATCCAGTATTTTAATACACATTCACTCGAACGCTAAAATGAAATTTGTAAAAAATTACAACGTCTGACGTGAAGCGTCCTAACGCCGCGACTGAGCGTCCTGCTAGCGGTGGGGCTCTGTTTGACAGTATGTTACCGTAGTAGTACAACACTTCTCAGCGTCATAGCGCGCCGTCAGTTTAGCGTTCTGACGCGCGCTAATTACGCGTTCTGTTTGACGGTGCCTTAAGCACACGCGTACCTCGCAGCCCTGAACATCCCGACGGCGTTCTCGAACTTGTACTCCCGCATCGACTTCTGTATGTTCCTCATGCAATCTTCCCTGGAAAATAATTAACGTTTTTACCCGATATAACACAATATGCCGCGAGAGGCGGAGAACTTTATAATTAAAATAACGTTGCCGCACCAACTTATTCCAAAGGATTATTATACCTTGGAGCTGTTTTGTTGAACAAAAAGACAAACATTGACATCACTTTTAATTTGATCCTGTATGTTTCGTTTTAATGAATTTATTTAATGAAACTCAGTATTAGGTAATAACTTTCACAATAATTAAATGGTAATGGTACCTTAAATTAGTTTATAATTTTTTTATATTAATAATAACCTATTGTTTTTTCTAGATTTGATCTGCCACTATTGAGCCACATTATGGTGGGGGGTTGATGGAGCCTATAGACGATGAGGATGTCGTCACCCATCTTGGAACGTGAGATAAAATCTATAATCGTATTGTGTGATCGTCACGCGTCATTGCTTCATGGTAGAAATAAGTAAAGATGATGGTATCAACCCGTGGGTTCACAATATTCCTAAACATAAAATGCTGAAATTCAATCTGGAACAATGACGTGCGCGAACCGGTTCTCTAACTAATGACCTCTAATTAATTTCGAACTATTCTCTTAGGAATTTTAAGCAAGTAATTGTTTACTTTTGCTGGTCTATCGGGACATCGGAGGCTGCGTCGAAGGGCGGCGGGTACTCCTCCGGGCCTGCGGACAGCACGGCCGCCAGCTGAGGCCGGGCCTCCTCCCACGCGGGGGCTCCTGGCTCCGTTGGCGGAGCTCTTTGTGCTCTCGGTTTGTTCCCTATAATATTATATTGTAATCCCTGTAGACGAAGTGTCTAGAAAATCCTTTGAAGCCCACGCGAAAATATTTCATTTACATTTATTTTTTGTTGGGTCAGATGAAGATTTATTAATGTTTGAAGGTTGAGTAAAATTAGATCTCATTTACAATAGTTATGTATTTTCTGCGACTGCTGCTACTAATCTACCTAACCATCTAAATCAGTTACCAAACGGATGTGTTCACGGCCCACCCAATGCGAACCGGTAACCATAGACCCGGTTGAAGTTCCAATGGTATTATAGATATAATCGCTACTACTTTTTTGGCTAATATAATGGCTTTTACTGGTGGTAGGACCTCTTGTAAATCAGCACGGGAATGTACCATCACCCCGCCTATTTCTGCCGTGAAGCAGTAATGCGTTTCGGTTTGAAGGGTGGAGCAGCCGTTGTAACTATACTGAGACCTTAGAACTCATATCTCAAGGTGGGTGGCGTCATTTACCTTGTAGATGCCTATTGGCTTCGGTAACCACTTAACACCAGGCGGGCTGTGAGCTCGTCCACCTATCTATACATTAAAAAAAACTCGCATTACTGCTTGGCGGCAGAAATAGGCAGGGCGATAGTACCTGAGCGAGCTTACACATAACTAACGATCCACAAGTACCATATTAGCAAATCTATAACGAATAAACAAGAACCTGGAATTCAGTAAAGCAACTAGAAGCCAAATCAATGGACATATGTTGTACTAAGCTCAATTGAAGATCATTGAACATATATTTTAATAGTGTTTATATAATATAATACTGTTTAAAACAAAATAAACGTACATCGCGTATGTAATAACACAATACCGTTTTTGTAGCGGAAATGCCATTATATTGGATAGCAGGCATGTTATCGTATCGCAAAACCGATCAGTTTGATGAGGGTGAAGATGAAAAACTGCGTTTGATAAATGCCGTTTGCATGCACATAAACTTTAATAGGTAGTCGAATTGCTATACTAGCATAACTATAACAATTCATATCGTCATTACAATTATATGTACATTAATTGTAAATTCTCGCTTTTAATGAAGTATAAGTTTAATCGTGAAAGAGTAAAAATGCTAAGATTCCTTTGTGTCTATTTCCTGATACTATACATATGTAAATTTATTTGTTAAGCACATACTTGTCTAAATTAGCTTTAGTCGAACCCGGGCGATCTTTGATTTGAGTTTGATGAACTCACTACTAAACTTCACAGAATCATCCGCTAGACTGATCTGAAGATTTCGTAGAAATCGCTCCAGCCATTTCGGAGTCTTAAGAGGATATACAACAACACATCGAATTTCTTATTCATAGGATTTGCTGGAAACAAAAGTTTCAATAACAAACACGAACTCACTCTTAGATTTGGATTTCTTCTTGATCTTCTTCTGCACCACTAATCCGGTCTTCTTGCAATAATGTTCAAGCATTTTCAAGAACAAATGTACAGTTTCGACTAAATCCACTAAATAAGACCTAAAAACATAACTCAATTAAGTTCAATATCTAACGGCGCGTGTATTCGATAATCATCCGTTCGGATTGGGTTCGAGTACCTTGGCATTTTATTTTCGTCGTAGTTAAGAAATGTGTTTAGTATAAACTCTCTGTACTCTAGGACGTAAAATATATTACTCTTTAATACTTTAGCGGATTCTTTGACCGTTGGATCGGTGCTTTTGTCCATGGCCAGTAAGGTGTAGAGGAGTTCCTTGTAGGCGCGCAACGCCAGGTGCAACCTCCTAACCCAGACTCCGAACTTCTTTTTTTCAACTTTGATCATATCATAGTATTTCTCCATTTGTTGTTGCACGTAATGGAACATAGGAATTGACATAGTTTCGCTAAAAAAAAACACCACTTTATTTTATTTAACTTGCATATCATTTGGATTTCTAATATGTTGCGTAATAGTAACTTGTCGTTATAGTTCACTCATTTATGGTTAATACATGGATTACGATATGTCGGATACGTTATGTCATATCCTAGTATCCAAGTTCCTTTGCTTATAATTGATGAGAGAATGTCATTCTGATTACATTGCGCAGTCTGTTCTATGTATTTATATTTTTTGCATTGCCGCGCTCGACTTTTTTATTTAATAATCTGTGACGTTAGTAGTGTGTGTAGTTAGCTCTTGTTTTCATGTTGTTTTCAAATATACTTTTTTGTCCTACTGTTAACATTTAAATTTAGCCTATTTTTCCGCTGTTTGTAAAATTGCTGTAACATGTCATAGTGTGTTATAAGAGACTGCTGTACATGCCTGTAACTGGCTTACATACCAGTACTTAATTTTATACATGTTAATTTTAAGCTTGAATGTTTTGTGTGTATTGCTGTTGGTGTGTCTAAATAAATAAATAAATAAATAAATATGAAAGTACCACTAAAACAGTTGAATAGGGAGGCAGTTCAAGCTCCACGGACCTTGGGCCGAATACACGAACTTGTGTCTGCACTATACCACTCTACCTGGAATCGTCAGGGTTATCCTGTGTGCCGCCCCAAAGAACATCATTGCGACGTACGATCCAACTTCGTCCTTTATTGTACTTAGTATTTATTTATTTATCAGTCATTCACCAAACGAAGTAATACTTAGGGTCCGTTCACACAGACCAGCTTGGGGAGGAGAGCAGATTTTTATCACGTTGGAAATATAGTTTTGAGTAATTGTAGTAAAGTTTATATTTGCATGTGAATTTGTTTTTGTCATTAAGAATGCTTCAACGCGCTGCGTGTGAAATAATAAGAGGAGTCAACCGGCTCAGATTGCGCGTTCGCTTTCAGATCTCTTCCAGCCGGTCTGTGTTAAATAGTTGGCGGCTCCGCTCCGGCCAATTTCAACGTCTGACGACGATCGGGTCTGTGTGAAAAGAATAAAAGCGGGCTGGTCTGTGTGAAGGGACCCTTAGGCGCGCCTGCCCTGGCATTGCCAACATCCACAAGCGACGGTGACAAGTAACCGTCAAATGGAACGGTAGCACGTTTGTATTCGAAGGTAATAGTAAAAAATAAGAACGAAATAGACCGTTGATGATCTTGTTTTTTTTTTCCCTACCTAAGCTGATAGCCTTGAGAAGCTATATCAGCGTCGCTTTAACTAGTAGGTGAGCTCACGGGGCTCAAACCTGATGACGTTGCTAACACGAACCCTAGCAAGAGCCGTAGAGAATCTACCTCTGGATCGGAAACGCGACCCACTGAGAAGATCCAACGAGAAACTCAGTGGGCTGTGTCTGAGGGTTAATTTACTCGTCGAGTCCTTCGTCGCAAGCGACGGGTTCGACGAGAACGATGACCGGTGCTTGAGTTACCTAAAAGCACCGTTAGTGGATTACATTGGACACAGAGATATAAAAACTTTTTAGAGACACATTAAAATATCAAAATGTTGAGTTGCACGGAGGAGTCTTGAGGAAGTCTCGTCACTAAAGATGTTAGTAGGTTTAATAGATTCATTCTAAATATCGGGATAGGACTTGTTATACTAGTTTATGTAATAGTGCAAATACCCAATGTGGGTGCCGCTTTCACGAGGTGGACCGACTATTTGCTAAAGGTCGCGGAAATCTGCTGAATGTCGGCTGCATGAAAGAGGTAATTGTGGTGAACCTTGGGGAGGTCTATCTAGCAGTGAATGTCGGTATGCTGATGATGACAAGTTTATGATTTGGATTTTAAGTCTTCAAATATCCATGTTAGTATCTTGTACGAACAAGCACAATTCTCTTCTGACAAACCTTTTAGTGTAATTAGATTCAAGTAAATTTTTCATTAACGATGTCAGCGTGTTCCTCCAGTCTTACCATTATCTATACAGTACCACTAATACAGCAACAATGATAGAAGTTTTTTTTTATTCAGTTGCTTAGGTATAAATTGATCTCGGTTCACACATGAAACATGAGATAATCGCATAGCTACGTTAGTGTTACATCACTACGCAGAGCCTTATACCGGTACACCACGAACGTTGCAAAATCTAATTGATAATCCTCCTCCTCCTCGCTTCGTTGTCCTCGGAACTGAGGGCGATGAACTCCCTGTATAATTATATCCTGAGCACTATAATGTGTTCTATAAGCTCCGTGTGCTTTGTGCGAGTTTTTTAACGTACTCGATAGCGTAAAAGTTAGTTCATATTTGTATGGAATGGGGTCGTTTGCGTACTGTTACAGACTCCCCATGCTAGTTAAAGTGATGTTACATCCTTTTTAAAAACCACTGATGCTGAGTAAGCATAGTAAGAAATCACTTAGTAATAGTTACCGACCGAGACTCAGTCAGTCGTATTTAATCACCCATTGGGAGCGGTCTTAGACAATATCTCTTTTCTGCCAATTACTAAAATTCAGTTGTTCGTGTGATTGAATCAATAAAAGAAAAATCTCTTCTTCTAAATTATTTTTTAAAAACCTAATCGGGAGACCCTGCATAACAGTACGTTTGCCGCTAGGGGCGCTGTTCCAATTGCATACAGAAATGGCTTAACTTTAACGCTATCGAGAACGTTAAAAAACTCGCACTAAGCACACCGTTCCGTGCGGCGTCACACACGGTCTCCAGCATTCGATAGTACAATAACAAAAATACCTGATCAATCCAACTTGAAAATTGTGTCCTCTATTAAATTCCATGAAGAATTTAACCGCCCACAAGTAATACGACTCGTCGTTTTGCTGGGCCTTGGCTCTGACGAGTACGTCCTTCACGTAATGCATGAGTGAATTGTAGGAGCCGTTTAAAAACTCAATGCAAAACTCTTTTAAGAATAATCTAAAATAACAACGACTTATTTACTTGGTGTAAGAAAGAAAAATTACGGCTATTAATTAAGCAATTATGTACGTCAAAGAATTTGTTTTATTTAGATTTTAAATTTTTATTTGTTTAGATTTTAAAACGATTACTTACTATGGTCATTATAGTAGGTAGAGATATACGTTCAAAGGTCTCAGTATAGTTACAACGGCTGCCACAGCCTTCAAACCGAAACGCATTACTGCTTCACGGCAGAAATAGGCAGGGTGGTGATACCTGCCCGTACGGACTCACAAAAGGTCCTACCACCAGTAATTACGCAAATTATAATTTTGCGGATTTTATTTTTACTACACGATGTTATTCCTTAACCGTCGAAGTCAATCGTGAACATTTGTCAAGTACGTATTTCATTAGAAAAATTGGTACCCGCCTGCGGGATTCGAACACAGGTTCATCGCTCGATACGAATGCAACGGACGTCTTCTTCTTTAGGCCACGACGACTTCAAGCAGAATAATGAAAATCTAGGCATACTGGGCTACAGTCGTGTTATTTGCAACCTTGCAATAATCAGAAGCGTCGCGCGCTCACCTTATCGCGAAAGCGGATCGCCTCTCTAACATTCCACTTTCCATTGGCCTCCTGTTTTTTGGTTTCACCAGTTTCGATTTTTTTCCGCCGCTAAAATCTAATTTCGATATGTCGTTTAATGGCTTCAAGCTAATTATCTCGTTGTCCGATATAGATTTCATGTTCTGCACAACATATGTTCCTCCGAATCGAGAGTGTCTGTGATTATAATTTTTTAAGTTTCATTAGGCTATTTTATTTTCATAGTTTATTTAAAAAAAGTTTAGATATATAAGAAAATATTTTATGAACAAATCCACATACTTTTATAATTAAAGGAAGAGATGATCCATATGACATATGAAGTTAAATGTTGTAGGTTTATTTGTTTAGTAACAAAATTAATTCCTAACTCTCAAAATTTTACAGTAATTTATCATTTTCTTTTTGAATTGCTAATCTAAAATATTATATGGAAAAATGACATAGGAAACTTCTACTGTTTGGAGCAAAGCAAATTTAAAAATTGTTGAATAATCACCCTTAACTTAATATCATTAATTGTATAAGCATTTAAATTATTTCTTTCATCTAATTGTATCAGGTCTGGATTAACAATGACGAATAAACACATTATTGAAGTAATTTATTCAAAATTTATTTTAGTACTGCAACAATGTTTATTACAATACCTTGTGGCAGAGTACTGCTTAATTTTGCTGAGTCTTAGATTATTTTCTGTTATTCTTAAAGATAGTAATTCCTGTTCATCTTTTAATTTTTCATCCACACTCCTTTGTAATGCAGCATCAGCAAGACTGCTTGGATTTTGTTCTCTCAATAAATGTGATATTATTTCAATTATATGCATAAAGTACTGTTTTTCATTCTCTGATGACATGTATAAAATAATATCTAAAATACCTGATTGATTTAGGCTCCATAAAACCTAAAATTATATAAAAAAATGAATACCTAAAAAGTACATTTATTGTAAAAGAGTTTTGAGTATATTTGTTTTAGTAACCTTCTAATGCAAGTTATAAAAGCTCATAAAATGAATGAAATTTCATATATGTTGTATACTAGCTGACCCGGCAGACTTCTTAGTACCTCAATGGATAAATAAAAGACCTAAGCTTTTGTATAAAATAAACTTAAAACAAACAAAAGGAATCCGTCCGACAGGGGGGAGGGACATCAAAGGAAAAACAAAATTGTTACCTATTTTTATTTCATTCCGAGCATTTTCATATTTATCTACCTTTTAAACCTTCTCTGGACTTCCACAAATAATTTAAGACCAAAATTAGCCAAATCGGTCCAGCTGTTCTCAAGTTTTAGCGAGACTAACAAACAGCAATTCATTTTTATATATATAGATAGAAGATAGATAGATAGATAAATAGATTTGCGTAATTTAAGAATGTTTCTTGTAGTTGATACAATGAAATTATCTGACACACTATCAATATACAATTGAAATGATAGAGAAGGTCTTTTAATAAATCTGTTTCATGCTAAATGCATGAATTACAGTAGGCAGCGGCTTAGCTCTGCACCTGGCATTGCTGAAGTTCATGGGCGACGGTAACCACTCACCATCAGGTGGGCCGTATGCTCGTCTCCCTACAAGGGCAATAAAAAACATTTATCAAACAGTAACAGTACATGCCAGAGTATTCTTTATTAAATTAAATTATTACTTACCTGATCATGTATATTAGCATCATTTTCAGGCCTTTTCTCTTTATCTAAATCAGCAGGAACATGTAACACATTTCTGATTAAAATTAATATTCTTTCAATTATCAATCCTGTGTCCTCATCTCGCTCTGACCAGTCCTGTTCAATATATTATAATGCAATCACAAAATACTCAAATGGTTTAAGTATTTATTTTTAATTTTGATTTTGATTTTAACGGTAGCCTGTTGCACTTTCAGTCAGTTTCATCTTATGTATGCCCCTGAGCCAGAATATTCTATGATGGCCTGTCAAAATGGCCAGCCAAATCTCTTGGCTAACATTTACAACACCTGGCTTTCTCTATAGTTAGATTCACATAGAAACTTATGACTTATGAGTATGTGTTAACCCTAAGGCATTGCTCCACTACATAGTCATCCATCAGTACATCCTTCAGTACATTATGTGCAACTGTCATTACAATTTTTATACATGATTCAGATCCTATCATTGCTTTATTGGTGCAATATTTGAAGTGGATAAACAGGTAATGTTTTTATAAATTTACAGTTAGTTTTTTTTATATTTTATGCCATAGCAAGAGAGACACCTGTTTAAGAATAACTGCTGTGCTTGATATTTGCTTTAATCACTAATAGTCTGCCAACTTTGAGCAGTCATAAGTTAAATAAAAGTTATGTTGCGATTATTATGGTTATTTTTATCTGTTTTCAAACCTATGTACAATTTTTAGTTATATAAATGCACGATGATCAGTATTATTATTTTTTAATGATCTACATTTTAACACAAATGTAACAATTTCACGACCCTCAGTAATGAGGAAACGACAAAGAAGAAGACATTTTAACGATAAGAATGTATTTTATCATCATCACAAACATACAATATCTGAGTATTTAGAAGTTACCTAATATTTATTTGTGGATTAAGTTATAAATTTTTTCATATGAGCAAGGAATAAAATTTTAATGACAAGAGCAATTTTAATGAATCTTATGAAATATATCTTACAATAAATTGTTTTTACTGTAACTTACAGTTTCTAATATTTTTGCTAGTTTTTGTGAGAAAACATTCCAAATATCAACTTTGCTAAATGCTTCTTCTTTATATGCTTGTAAATGTGTGAGTATTTGCAAATAGTTGTGTCTCGCTGTTCTTTCGGTTGGTACTTCTTCTCTGTACAAGAGCAGAGCTGGGTTTGTCAAGTTTACTAAAAGTCTGAAAGATACAGATATTGTTTAATCGGATACCATTTAAATTGACCAGATAGTTGGAAGTTGAAGAATTTACCTTAGAGTTACATCAAACAGTTCAGCATTCTCCCAATGATCTATTAACATCCGAAGTAAATCAGTTTGTAGCACTTTTGTTTGGCCCAAATGCCTTCTTATTTCATGATCTTCACCATCGCGACGCAAATATCGAATAAGATCTTTAACGGTATTAATGGTAAATTCATCAATTAAGTATTTACCGGTTTTTTTGTCAAAAGTTCCAAGGGCATTGCAAGTAGCAGAAAGTTCAGCTGATAATAATGAAGACATTTTATTTATTGAAAATGGTATGTACAAATTATTATATATTTTACTTCGTATAAGATCTTGGCTTTTCACTATTCACAACAGGAAATTATCATTTTATCAAATGATTGTTACATCCGAGAGTATTATAATAATAAATATTTACAAAGCTGTTTTGTTTTGAATATTTTTTAGGTTATAAAAGTTCACCCAATTCTAGTTGACATTTAAAATGACATGACATTTAAAAGCCCGCGAAACGAATTTTCGTTCTGAAACAAACAATTTTTAGGTAGACGTCGACGTTGGAAATCAACACTACGATAAATTAATAAAGATAAACAAGCCTTCTGAAATTGTTGAAAACATTACATATTAAAGAAAGAAACACTGATTAAATAACCATATTAGGGGCTCGGTTTTGAAATTACGGTTACCAAGGCAATGTGAATATTATAAATATACACAGAGAAGGTGTTTTCATATTGGCTTCCATTTTGTCTCTACTTAAAATAAAGTTTTCTACAAAAAATATGGTGTTCATCAATTGGTAGTACTAACTACTATTTTATGTTTTTTTTTTTATTCTGAGTGCCAATGACTATAGCACCCATATTACGCTTAAAATATGTACTTGAAACACAGTGGGGGAATGCAGCAGTTATGTTGACCACGTGAATAACAAAAATGAATTTGCTACAGTTATAATTTATCCATCATGTTCTGTCTTATTTATTTCATTAGGGATTGAGTAAACAGACAAACATCCTCATTAAGATTCTTTAACGTGTTTCAAGTCATGTCAGCTTTTCGCTAGCTCGTAAGCTTTTTCATTTCCCTTGGCACCTCCATGTCCAGGTACCCCAATTAGATTGCTATTGTTGAATCCTCCTCATTTATTAAGGGTCTAAATATAGTTCAGCGTGTGTGCCGATCTTATTCCATAATTCAGCAGTGACAAGTACAAGACCGATTCATATTGTCTTAATAATTGTATCAGTTCTTGGAGTATGACAGCATCCATTCCTGTAGTGTACAGACGGTTTTAAAATCAGTTCAGGTACTTAATAAAACATTAAACGATAAAGCCTTGAATGGTGAAAATTTGTTGTCATTATTTTATCCATGCCTTATACATATAGCTTAGGCTTTGGAAATATAAAATCGATTTTTTTTATTAGTGGAGGAGCTCACGCTCAATCTGGTATTAAGCGGAGCTCATAAACATCAATATTGTAAATACCGCCACTCACCATGAGTTCTAAGGTTCAGTTAGTACAACTGTTGCCCCGAAATGCAATGAAATGAAATCTTATAAATTAATTCTCATCTAATAAACATGTTTTCAAGAGAGATATTAAGGAGATTAGTAGGTACTGTAAAAATACACCGACAAAAAGAAAAAATGTTTTTTTTTGTTTGTTTTTCAAATTATTGTTGTTATATCCTTAGGAACATGTCGATAAAGTTGTCGATATATCTTCAAGCTTTTACTAATTTTTTTTATTGATTAGATGGGTGGACGAGCTCACAGCCCACCTGGTGTTAAGCGGTTACTGGAGCCCATAGACATCTACAACGTAAATGCGCCACCCATCTTGAGATATAAGTTCTAAGATCTCAAGTATAGTTACAACGGCTGCCCCACCCTTCAAACCGAAACGGATTACTGCTTCACGGCAGAAATAGGCAAGGTGGTGGTACCTACCCGTGCGGACTCACAAGAGGTCCTACCACCAGTAGTTACGCAAATTATAATTTTGCGGGTTTTATTTTTCTTACACGATGTTATTCCTTCACCGTGGAAGTCGATCGTGAACATTTGCTGAGTTTTTTTTTGTTGCCATTGTTGGCAGACGAACATACATGATGGTAAGTGGTCACCGTCGCTCATGGACGTCAGCAATGCCAGTGGCAGAGCCAAGCCGCTGCCTACCATTAAGTAATCTCCGCAAACCTCGTTTGAAGAAGGACATGTCATAGCGCTCGAAAAACACCGTGGAGGGGAGTTCATTCCAAAGCCGGATGGTACGTGGCAAAAAAGATCTTTGGAAACGCACTGTTGATGAACGCAGGGGTTCCAGATAATATGGATGAACTCTGCTCCGATGGCGGGAGATGCGATGATAAAAAGGAATAATTCCTCAGAGCATTCCCCATGGACCATACGGTATAAACACACAGAGAGAACCGAAGTCCCTCCGTAGACCCAGAGGCTCCAAGCGATCCGCGAGAGCGGGACTATTGACCATCCAAACAGCCCGTTTCTGTATGGAGTAAAATGGAAGTAGCTGGTATTTCATTAGAAAAATAGGTACCCGCTTGGGATTCGAACACCGGTGCATCGCTCAACACGAATGCACCGGACGTCTTATCCTTTAGGCCACGACGACTCACGGGATACTGACTCACGGGAGAAATAAGCAGAGTGGTTGTATCTACCCGTACGAGTTCACAAGACGTCCGTCCACTATTAATGTGGTGTTAATGTTTGATCCTAAACTATACTACGAGAAAAGGTATGTATATTGAAGTTAAGTAAACATGTATGTTTAGTTTTTGTTGTCAGTAGGTAATTGACTATGGATCGGTGCCTTAGCACTTGAACACACTGCCTAAATACTGGCTAAACTGCACATACCTAATACTAAGCCGCTGTAAATCTTGGGTTTTGCGTGCTGGCCATTGCTAGCGGGACGAGATAATCCTGGCTATTGGTGCCATGCCAGAACTTATCCTGAACATTGGCCACCCGCCAGGGATAATGGTCCCGACATCCAATGGATTTGCGTACGGAACACAATGTAAACTTTCATAGTTGCAAATTAATGATAGCTAAATAAATCCAGTATCAGTGTTATATTAGTACCGCTAATAATGTTAACTTAATGACTTAATTCAGCTCAGTTCATATATTAACTTATAGGCCATTTCTTATAATATTGTTTTTCTCCTTATCCCTATTTTTCATTTTGTCACATGAAATACACAATATGTTAACAACACAGATAATCATAATTTTCAACAGATAACTTAGATTTTAGCGCTTTTAACATCCAAATAATAGCTTAGAAAATATTTGAGGCCATTATAGGCGATTTATTCATATATTTTCTTTTCCTTTAGTGAACTTGATAACTTAGTTTTTAGCACTTTAATAACCAATATAAGTTTCAAATTTTTGATTAGACGTTCAATCTTTCTTTACCACAAACTAGGTTATAGATAAAATAGGATCGCATAACAAAAGAATCTGGAACAATACAAAAAGTAAAAATACTGAAGTACCCGTACTCTAATGAGTAAGATGCCCGTTGTACTCTGGTCTACAATTACCAATAGTAAGCACATAAGTATCTAACACATACTCATGAACGAGTTGAATATCGTAAAAAATGGTGGTAAGGCATGTCGTGTGTAAATACCACCAACATGCCCATTTCTGCCGCAAGTTCTTTTGCGTTCTGTTTTCAAAGTTGAGGCAGCCATTACCCAATACAGCTGTTATTGTAGCCTCGAAGTTATGAGAATAGCGCCATTCATATTATGACATGTCTCTTGTCTCCGGTAATTGCATAATACCATGTGGGCTATGAACTAATCTGACGAACTACAATTAAAAAAAATGTTGTTATGAATTTATTTGTAATGTTCCCATGAGATCGTTTGAAATGTTCCGGTCATCCCCTTTACTGTATACAAATAATAATTTCCTTAAGTAAGTAAATAATTTATTTAATGTTAAAAACGTTCTAATTCACTTGAGGAAATTTTATTTTGACTGGTAGTCCCTCGTCCTTGTGACCCTTTCTCCGCTCGGTAAATATTCTTTGATACTTTTAATTGATATTTGGTTTTAGGTTAATTTTCTGGATCCAATAAAACATCGTGATGGTGAACGAGAAAATAGGGAAATGTTTATAAAGATCTACTAAGGAAGTAACATCGCTCCTGAATCTGATAAAAACAGCAATTAACACGCTTTTTGTTTTAGATACAGAGGTTTATGGTTGATGAATAACGAGCAAAATTTGTTTTATAATCCATTGTGTTCGTTTGACTTCCGTAATTTGCAGGATGAGGAATTGTAATTAGATCAATTAGTTCAACCTGTTTGAGACGTAGACTGAAAAAGAATGGATAAATTATTTACTAATAAGTTTTTAATAAACAGAAGCTACAAAATCTTGCCACTTTACTATATGTGTATGATGTAATGATGTAAAATTGTAAAGAATCGATAACAAACTTCTATTAATAAATTTTACAAAATGTTGAATCTAATAAGTTTTAAAAACTAATGATTGGTTAACTTCGACTTGTAGATAGTTTAACTGCACAAAATAATTGGCAAAGGAAACATGACACTTTTCAACCGGCCATTATTATTTCATAGTATGTTCAGTGTGTAAATTAATAATATTATAAAAACTTAAATCTACCAAATAAATATTTAAAGTGATTTAGTCTTTCACAGCACGAAACGAAAATTCCATTTGCTCACCATTTTTCTCCATTATTATGATACTTTTTGCAGTCGCGAAACTTTTTGCGACGAATAAAAGGGTTTACCTACGGTTGCGAGACGAAAGACCTCGTGCTCTTTAGGGACCCTGAATACAATGAATGTAGCATAATGAAACTGTACCCGTAGCGATTTTATCATTTATTACTGACTCTGAAGCTACTCAGTCTGCGTATCTATTACAGAATGATTTGAATTGTCTGAAAGTGATTTATTATTCATGAGGAGGATAGAATAAGCGCCTATTTCATTGAAAGCGAATTTTGTGCGCCAATTTTGTTTTAAATTGTATAATTACTATTGAAACTTTATGCATTAAACTTGTGCTTCAGATTTCGCTTATCAGTTTTATAAAAGTTACATAATAATTTATCTTCTAAGTTATACTTCATTTGGCACATTTGGGAAAACACATCTAGTGTATTAGTATCGTGTATTGAAGTCGCGCGCGTCAATATAACACTCAATAAATGACTCTGTAATTTAATTATAAAAATATCTATTTGAGGCTATATACCTAGTCAGGTCATAAATTCTGTCACATGTTTAATGTAAAATAATTGAAACAAGTTTATTCATGATGTAACCATTCATATACCAAAATGAACTTAACAAAACATAGATTCTTATGACACTAAAGTTTATTCAAAATGACCTCCGTGAT